GTTATTAGCTGCCATGTAGGTGCTGGAAATTGAACCCAGGTCTTCTGCAAGAACAACCAGTGTTCTTAACCGCTGAGCCATCTCTCCAGCCCCCAGATTTTTGTTTTTTTAAAGAAGATATTTTAACATATATTATGGACAAGCTCTACGCTGAATTATTTGCATGTATTAATTCATTATACAATTACTCTGAAAGATAATAGCAAACTAGACCTAGGACTTGTAGTCTTATCTACAATTCTGTAAAGATTCTGATAGAAAAGAGAAGTTGGTTCTAAAATATTGGTTCACAAATCTTGAGAATACTTCTTTTCTGATAAGATCCTCTATTTCTTTTCTTTTCTTTCCTTCTTTTTTTTTTTTTTTTTGGTTTTTTTGAGAAAGGGTCTCCCTGTAGCCCCAGCTGTCCTGGAACTCCCTATGTAGACCAGACTGGCCTTGAACTCAATTTTTTTTTCTGCCTGCCTCTGCCTCCCAATTGCTGGGATTAAAGGCGTGAGCCACCACATCTGGCTCTTTTCTTTTTTCTTTTTTTCTAATGTACTCTTTTCTTTTTTTTAAATGGGGCTTTTGGCTACTCTAACATTTCCCCCCTCTGAAGAGGTAACCCTAAAATCTTTTAAGGATTAGCTAAAAGCTCCCAAATACTTTTGACATTTTTGGCCTTTGGAACGGATTGTGTTGCTAAGAGGCCCAAGGACATTTTGAGTTTTAGCCAAAAAACTGGCTACTTTTCTCTGGAGTCTTAGCTGCCTAGCCAGTTCCTACCTCCTATTCTTATCACACGTTGTCAGAAGGGGTTACCCAACTTGTGGATAGGGAATCCGGATGCAGACTGCTCTGGCTTCTTTCATGCTGAACAGGGATGCAGGGTGAGGCAACTGGAGTACCCCTTCAGTGGGTCTATCTAAAAGACTCCCAAATTGCATAACTCTTATCTGTAGGGGGGAAAGAAAGTCCTTGGCTGGTGAATAGGAGATGTGAAGGAGAAGTAAAGGCAAGAGTAATTAGCATTACAAGTTCCAGACAGGGAATTAGAAAAAAGTCAGAACAGGGCAATTTCAAATGTTCATATGAGAGTTCACTGGAATTGGACTGTTCTGGGTTGAATACTTGGTGGTTTTCTTTCTTTACTCTCAGTGCACTGAAGACAAGGTTGCCGACTCCTTTGGGTAATTTCTGAACGGGGGTCCTTGTCCTGGCCTCATGCAGACCCCAAGGTATCTACCTGTAGGCTGTCCCTACTCCTTTGAGGCAAGCACACATTCATTTTGGGATGTCGAAGCTTAAGAATACTGATAAAGACAAAGTAGGGGTTTAGAGCAGAGTGTGGAACTCTCCTTTATTCTCCCTTGTCTTGGATCCCCCCTCAGTCCACAGCTGCTGTGTGGCTCTAAATTCTCCCTGTTGGCTTCTCACACCAGAAAGGTGGCAATTTTCTTGTTGGAGTTTTAGCAACACCAAAGCAGGCTGACTGGTGTTTTATGAGCACCTGCTTAGTCCTGGTGCTTTCCTCCACGTGGCGACTCTCTTGTACAATAATCCTGTCTCCTTTTCTACCTGATTTTTTAAAAAAATTTAAACTCATCTCTGAAATGGTTCACATAATAGAAATTTATTTGACCATGAACAGAAATGGAAACTGTTTATTTCATTTAAAATTAAAACTCTATTCACTGAGTTCTTAATTTCATTCATGATATTTTTTTCAGGTGTAAAATTCTTGGTGCTTTCAAAATAGGTGGATTTAACTGCTAATATCTTCAATCTTGTATCTTAATTTCTCAAATATGTTAATCAATTATTTTAAATATTATATCTGATCATTCCTTTGTGTAACTCCTTTGAGTTTTTCAATGATGTAATCAATTCATCATCAAGTTGGAAGACCAGACACGGAAGGGAGGATGTTTCTTCATCTTACTCATCCAGCTGGCCAGGAAAATAATCTCATTTATTCTCCTCTCTTTTTCCATTTTTGAAAGAGCTGTTTATTTTTACCTTTTGCTAGTTTTTATCCTCCATTTTAGAATTAAACTCAGAGTAGGCTTTCCCTCCTAGCCCTCAACAGCCTGTTTTTATGTGGTATTAGTTTTCTCCATGTTGTCAACCCAATGGTTAGTTACCAGTCCTCATCTTATTTTATCTGCTAGTTGGTCATTCTGTCCTCCTCGATGTCCTCTCATTAGTTGGTTATAGGAACTTTGAAAGCGCTTTGTTCATTGCTCGCCCTTGTTCCTTCTCCACCTCCCTTCCTGCTGTACATTGTGTTCCTCCCTCTCTCCTTCCTTCCCTCCCTCCCTCCCTCCTTGTCTTCCTTCCCTTTCTTTCATCTTGGATTGGTCCAGTGTTAAGACCTTAATCCTTTTCTCTTCTTACCCTCTTGGTGATGTCAGTCTCTCTCTAGTTTTTAAAATCTTTCATTTAGTATTTTTATTTTATGTGTATGAGTGTATTGCCTGCATGTATGTGAGTGCACCATGTGTGTGCAATGTCCGAGGAGGTCAAAAGAGGGCATTGAATCTCCTGGAACTGGAGTTATGGACGGTTGTTAGCTGCTATGTGGGTGCTGGGAATCGAACCCAGGTCTTCTGCAAGAGCAGCCAGTGCTCTAAACCCCTGAACCATCTCTCCTGTCTCCCTCTCTCTAGTTTTAAATACTCTATCTAAATATCTAAATAGTCTATCGTCAGCCCAGATCCTTTTTCCAAACTCCAGGCTCCTATACTGAGCTCTATCCTTGATATTCACACTTGGATGGAACAGGTGTCTCAAGCTCAGCATCCTGTCCATAGCTGAGCTCCTGTTCCTGCTCCCGCCCCCACCCTCCACTACAGACTTCTGCATCCCAATGTGTGACTTCTTTCCAATGCCTTGGGGCAAAATTCTTATAGCTATTCTTTTTCCTTTTTATCTTTATAAAGATAAAATTACTTAAAATTTTATTACTTAAAAACTTTATTAACCTATAATTTATAATATTAAGGTTCACTCATTCAAAGTATACAATTCAATGGTTCTTGGTGACATTTTTGTATAGCCAACCCCACAACCTAATTTAAGGACATTTTCTACATCCTAAAAGGAATATTATATCTTGAATACTGGCCACATCTTATGCTCTGCTCATCTCTCCAACCCCCCCATCTTTTTATCTTTTTAAATACTCTGTTTTCCTTTATGCTGCCATTTTGTATGCTTTTAAAAATAAGAGTGTCAAACATTGTCAGAGCTCAATAAAAATTTCAAATTCTATATAATGATACCTTATTGGAGAGAAGATTTCTGGCATGCAGCTCACCATAGCATTAGCAAACAAAATCAGTTGACCATGCTCTAATCAGACGGAATGATTCAAACCTAGTTTGCAGCTTTATGAGGATGA